TTTTTTTTTTTTGTAGTTGTGAGACCAGAGAGAAATAATTGGCCTGTTCTACAGCCTGATGTAAGGAGGTTGTAAACAGATTTCAGTATTGTCCCTAATTGCCTCCAAGGGCTGGGGAAATTACTGAAACCTTTCTCTTTCTCTCTTTACAGCAGAAATAAATCATCTACCTAGGGAGTAGTGATGACTATTAGTTGATTAGTTTTCTCCATAGATGGCGACCTTACAATAATCTATAAATACTGGGAGATAGTTGTTATTTATTTCTTCAAATGAAACCTTTATTAGGGTTTTAATGGATCACTTAGAAGTCCTGTGCTTTTGTGTGACTATACAAATGGAATTACAAAAGTGAGTTTCAGCAGAAGAAATTCGGAGACAACTAACATGTGTCATTTCCCTTTAAGGGATATCTTCTTATGGTTTTGTTTTTTTAGGAGCTTCCCCCAAGCAAGTCAAGAAGTATCAAAGAACAGTGGGGACTGTTGAAAATGGTATTCTGGAACATCATTCTGATTTCCCATAAGGAACTATCTGACATTTTATCAGACTGTGTCTAGTAGTCTACAGAGCTTTTACTTACATTTAAGACTTAAAATCCATAAAAATCAATTGTATTTTTTGTTGTATTTGCATTTATATAGATCCTTTAATATATTTTACATCATAGTTCTTCTATAAACCAATGAATTATATAGTTTTATGACAAGGATTATACACCTGGCAAAATCGACAGATATTATTAACAAAAGTCCCCTTTTTACACATTTCTGCATGTGAAAAAGAATGTTGCAGATTATAGAAAAGTAAAAATAAGAGGGGAATTAGTTAACACTTATCGGTTATTGTCTTTCAATGCCAACAATGATCATAAACATTATACTGAATCTATGGATATTAAGGGACTTTTCTCAGCTCAGGAAACCAACTAGATCCAGCTCAAGTATCATCACATCAGCGCTCCTTTCCATAATATGAGCTTGGACTTTTGGCCAGGATGTATTCTGAGAGGTGGTAAACATTTATTCATAACTTGAGCTTGGACTCTTAGCTATAGATGGGATGCCTGAAAGGTATGTATCACTAAAAAGGATTCTAAGCAATCATTAACATAAATTATAGAATCCTGTCTACACTTCTAGGCTAGTTTCACAGCAGACAATTGGGAAGATTTGCCATGTTATTTGTATGAATGCAAACTGTGGAATTAGCAAGTGAGAAATCTAATGGATTTGGGAGAAAGAAAAAAAGAGATAATTTAGAGAAAATGTAATTTATTCCATAAACTAAGAGTTTTACTGTTTTCTAAATTCAATTCCATCTCAAGGTCCATCTTTTAAAAAAGATTACATGTCTAGTAAGACATATTTAGGTAATACTAAAATGTCATAATGCATTAACTAGCAGGACTTCTGCTTTGTATATAGTGCGGGAGTGGTCTCCTCTGCTTCTTTGAAAAGAGGTGTTTGATCTTCTTTCACATAACTTAAATGCAATAAAAATATGCTTCAAGGAATACTATGAAATCTTTTTACTGCTACTATCTAATACAGTTAAGGATCTTTGGGGTATATATGAAGCAAAAAGTGACTGGTTCATATGTGTATATTAACCGTTGAGAAATAATCATAAAACCCTGGGGTTTCATGAGCTTTCCCTTTAACACCAATCACGGAATTAAGAATCTGAGTTAAAAAGTTCCCCAATTTAGTTAACTCCATGGTTCCCATATCTGGCTCACAGTTAAAGTCCACCTGAGGAGCTTGACAAAATGGCTTCTTGGTTGCAAACAAAACCTACTGAATCAAAATTTCCAGAGCTAAATAAGTACAGGAATTTTTTCCAGCGCCTTTCAGGGATTCATATGACAAGCCATTTTGGGGAACCAAGGATTGAGACCAAAGCCAACAAAATTTGGTGGAGTTTTATCTCTGTATTCAGAAATGGGGATTCCACAAGGTCCATACATGTGTATTTGGGATTAATTACCCTGGCCATGACATAATTTTAAATGTCTTTTCCCTGCAAAATGAAACCATAGGCTCCAACTTGACTCACCTTAGAAACTGTGACATCTGGCCTTGTTCTCCTTTTTTATCAGGTATTCACAAAGTTTAAGGGTTATATTTAATTATCTCCCAGGTACTTTTTCTCAGTAATAACCCAACTCCCTGAATCTTTTCTCATAGTTCCTATTTTCTAACTCTTTAATGGTTTTTGCTCTTCTTCCCAGGAATCGTTTCTCCAAATACAGAGATGTGGATACCAATAGCAGTCTTGTCTGAGAAGCATAAGGTTGACTAATAACTAATCTTACTAGAAAAACCACTTCAAATGTCAGGAAATTAAACTTGGCTATTTCACTTTTGGTGGGACATTAGGGCATGTAATTATTACTACATATGCATTTCTACTGTCAATCCAGATCTTATGAGAATATAATTGAAAATATGACCTGGCCATTAGTTTCTTAAGGAGAGTAACAAACCCTTTTAAACCTAGACTTTCACATCTCATTTTTTTTAGGTAACATCTAAACACATACATATACATAAATGTATGCATAACTGTCTGAGGGTTAATTGGACCATTGTGATATGGAAATATTTGATCTGAAAACATTGCATAACCTAAATTTCTAGCAATTAATATGCATAGTCACAAGAAGAACCTTGAACTAACCATGAGCCCTGCCCCCCAAAGAGAAATAATGAATTTAAGCTAATTTGCTGGACATACGTAGTATGCCGAAATCTGAATCAACCCTATGCTTTCTACTAGACTTAAAAAAAAAAACAAAAAAAAAACCCAAGTCAACTAATGAACCAGCCAGAACTGGAAAAAATAAAACTTACTGAGTGCCTAAAACTGAAATATCAATACAGAACAAAACTGAAATATCAAAACGGCTGCTACACTGACTCTGAATTGGCTTAAACTTTATTTAGTTTAATTTCTTAGTTCCAACTGACAAATGTAGATATAGCTATATTTTGTCTAGCTCAATAGACAAGTTAATTCCCCCAGGAATGCAGGAACAGAAGCTCTTAATAAAAAATCACCTGTCTTTGTCTAGTAAACTCTGGCCAGTTAAAGCTGATTCCTCCTAAATACTTTCTGCTAGATGAATCTGTATGTTTTTCCCTTGTCCTGAAAACACACACGCAGACATACTCATGATTTCAACTACATTGACTATTGCATAGCACCATTTAGTTTTATGAATTCTCTTGTTAGTTTACCTGGGGATTTTCTTTCGCTTTGTGGCAACACAGCATGACTATTTTAGAGAGTTTTCTAATAAGAAAATATTATTTGGAAGAATATTTAAATTAACTCAGTTGTTTGATCCCCTGATGTTTTCAAACCAAGGTTCAGTATAATATATTTTAGTAAGGACAATAAACATCAAAATCTCCATTGCATACCTACTCTGACATATATATTTATTTATATATAGTCATCTCACCTTTTCAAAGCAGTTTCACATCTAGTATTTCATTTAGTCCCCATGTTTTTAACAAAGTTTATTTACATGTTATATATTTAAAATTTCCCCACCATGGAAGCAGCACAACTTGTTCAAATATTTAAGTAACAAATATTTCTACTAAGCATGTAAAGAAAAGAAAAACCTCATGCTTTCTTTACATTGCCTTCTCCTATTTCCTCCTTTTTTTGTTCAAAATGTTATATACACTTATCAGCTCTGTTCCTGTCTTCATTCAGTAGTTGTTTTAAAATGCCTACTATGTGCAAAAGCCCTTGCTAGATGCTAAGAACACCAAAAAAGAGTGTTTTTTTTTTTTTGGCATCGGATATTTGTATTCTAATAAGGAAAGTGAGTACATACTATTCTAAGTAAATTTAACTTCCTCCTTAAATTTGAAATTTACTGCAATATTATCACATAGTTATCAAAATCTTGTGCTTTTTTCATGTTTGTCTTTCCTTTTTGACCATGAATTACCTGAATACAGAGATTGAGTCTCATTGATTTTTGGATCCTACCAGGGATCTCAGTGTTGGGCATGTACTAGATATTTAATGTTTCATGTCACTCCCTGTTTGAAATCTTTTAATTTCTCCTTATTGCCTTAAAGATAGAATTCAACCCCTCAGCATGTAATGTAGGCTTTTGGTGATTTGAGTCTGCACTGTCCTATGGGATAGCCACTAGCCACATGTGTTAAGCATTTGAAATGTAACTTGTCTGAACTGAGATGTGCCATAAAAAGTAATATACACAGTAGATTTCAATGGCTTGGTATGAAAACTATGTAAAAGATCTCATTAATAATTTTTATCCTGATTACATGTTGAAATGATATTTTGGTTATATTAAATTAAATGCAATTTATTATTAAAATGAATTTCTTTTCTTTATTTTTTTGCTTTTTTAAAAAGTGTGGTTACCAGAAAATTTGAAATTACATACATGGCTCTCATTTGTAACTCATTATATTTTGTTAACAGGGATGCTTAAGCTCCTGCCAACCTCCATTTCCATATTTTCCACATGCACCCTGATTCCACCCTTAAAAAACTGTGTTCTTTTTCAAAAGTGCATGCTGAATTCCTTCTTCAATGCATTTGCATGTCTGCTTGGCATGCTCTCTCCTTTATGCACATTGGCAAAGGCCTACCCACTGCACTCCTCCTCTGACAACCCCTCCCAAGACCTGTTATAGATGCCCATGTCTATAATATCACATCACACTTTGTATTGTATTTTTTGGTTTCCTTCTGCCACGTTTAAGACTAGGACTGATTCTCTGAATGTCCTGTATTGAACACAGTTTCTGGCTTACAATAACCCTTAGTAAATGATGAATGACTGCAAGAAGGAACGGGCTGAATATATAGAAAATATGGAGGAAAGCCTTGAAGTCTTCCCTGGATTTTTGTGTAGTTCTAACACAAACACACCACCACCCACTCCCCTCACCAAAAAACAAAACAAAGCAAACAAGCCAAAAGACAAGCCACTACAGAAATACTTTCAAATAATGCCAGTAAACATTTATTTTTCAGAAAACGTTAACTTCAATGAAACAAACAAACAAAAGTCTCAAATCGTGTGTTCTGTCTCAGTTCCAATGTCAAAGGGTCATGGAAAAATAATTGGTGCTTAGAAACAGCTGGTAACAGTTCAGGAAGAAATAGTGACAACATCTTCAAAAACAGTTTATGCAGTCATTTCCCATGACTATCGTAACTTTTCATTCAAGAACAGTGTGGTTCTGCGGAGTCATCTTCATCCTTCAGCTTCAGAATAGCTGGTAAATTCCCTGGTAAGAGCTACCAAGAGGAGTGGCCTGGTTTAGTTGCACATGGTAATTAGTAAATGTAGGTCCTAAATCACGGGTTCCATAGTTATATCCAACAAAATAATCTCCACAATAGCCATTACACACTGGCTGATTATTGCAGGAATTATGGTAATTGTCATATCCTTGGTCAGAGAAAGTAAAGCCTTCATTGCAGACTGGGAAGCAAAGAGGAACATGCACAGAAGAGCTTCCATCACCTCCAACTGCCCCATAAACATTTTGGTTTGCTCCCCAAGCATCTCGGTATGCTCCCAAAGAATCTTGGTGTGCTCCCCAAACATCTGGCTGTGCTCCGGAAGGATCTCGGTGTGCTGCCCAAGCATCTCGCTGTGCTCCCAGAGGATCTTGGTATGCTCCCCAAACATCTGGCTGTGCTCCAGAAGAATCTCGGTTTGCTGCCCAAGCATCTCGCTGTGCTCCTGAAGGATTTTGGTGTGCTCCCAAAGCATTTCGGTATGCTCCCAAAGGATCTCGGTATGCTCCCCAAACAACTTGCTGTGCTCCGGAAGAATCTCCGTGTGCTGCCCAAGCATCTCGCTGTGCTCCCAAAGGATCTTTGTATGCTCCCCAAATATCTGGCTGTGCTCCCGAAGAATCTCGGTGTGCTGCCCATGCATCTCGCTGTGCTCCCAAAGGATCTTGGTATGCTCCCCAAACATCTGGCTGTGCTCCCGAAGAATCTCGGTGTGCTGCCCAAGCATCTCGCTGTGCTCCCCAAGCATCTCGGTATACTCCCAAAGGATCTTGGTATGCTCCCCAAACATCTTGCTGTGCTCCGGAAGAATCTCTGTGTGCTGCCCAAGCATCTCGCTGTGCTCCCGAAGGATCTTGGTATGCTCCCGAAACATCTGGCTGTGCTCCCGAAGAATCTCCGTGTGCTGCCCAAGCATCTCGCTGTGCACCTGAAGGATCTTGGTATGCTCCCCAAACATCTGGCTGTGCTCCTGAAGAATCTCTGTGTGCTGCCCAAGCATCACGCTGTGCTCCCGAAGGATCTTGGTATGCTCCCAAAACATTTGGCTGTGCTCCCGAAGAATCTCTGTGTGCTGCCCAAGCATCCCGCTGTGCTCCCGAAGGATCTTTGTATGCTCCCCAAACATCTGGCTGTGCTCCCGAAGAATCTCGGTGTGCTGCCCAAGCATCTTGCTGTGCTCCCGAAGGATTTTGGTGTGCTCCCCAAGCATCTCGGTATACTCCCAAAGGATCTCGGTATGCTCCCCAAACATCTCGCTGTGCTCCGGAAGAATCTCTGTTTGCTGCCCAAGCATCTCGCTGTGCTCCCGAAGGATCTTGGTATGCTCCCGAAACATCTGGTTGTGCTCCCGAAGAATCTCCGTGTGCTGCCCAAGCATCTCGCTGTGCACCCGAAGGATCTTGGTATGCTCCCCAAACATCTGGCTGTGCTCCTGAAGAATCTCCGTGTGCTGCCCAAGCATCACGCTGTGCTCCCGAAGGATCTTGGTATGCTCCCAAAACATTTGGCTGTGCTCCCGAAGAATCTCCATGTGCTGCCCAAGCATCTCGCTGTGCTCCCGAAGGATCTTGGTATGCTCCCCAAACATCTGGCTGTGCTCCCGAAGAATCTATGTGTGCTGCCCAAGCATCTTGCTGTGCTCCCGAAGGATCTTGGTATGCTCCCCAAACATCTGGCTGTGCTCCTGAAGAATCTCCGTGTGCTGCCGAAGCATCTCGCTGTGTTCCTGAAGGATCTTGGTATGCTCCCCAAACATCTGGCTGTGCTCCCGAAGGATCTTGGTATGCTCCCCAAACATCTGGCTGTGCTCCCGAAGAATCTCCGTGTGCTGCCGAAGCATCTCGCTGTGTTCCTGAAGGATCTTGGTATGCTCCCCAAAAATCTGGCTGTGCTCCCAAAGAATCTCCATGTGCTGCCCAAGCATCTCGCTGTGCTCCCGAAGGATCTTGGTATGCTCCCCAAACATCTGGCTGTGCTCCCGAAGAATCTCCATGTGCTGCCCAAGCATCTCGCTGTGCACCCGAAGGATCTTGGTATGCTCCCCAAACATCTGGCTGTGCTCCCGAAGAATCTCGGTTTGCTGCCCAAGCATCTTGCTGTGCTCCCGAAGGATCTTGGTATGCTCCCCAAACATCTGGCTGTGCTCCCGAAGAATCTCCGTGTGCTGCCCAATCATCTCGCTGTGCTCCCGAAGAATCTCCGTGTGCTGCCCAAGCATCTCGCTGTGCTCCCGAAGGATCTTGGTATGCTCCCCAAACATCTGGCTGTGCTCCCGAAGAATCTCCGTGTGCTGCCCAAGCTTCTCTCTGTGCTCCCGAAAGATCTTGGTATGCTCCCAAAACATCTGGCTGTGCTCCCGAAGAATCTCCGTGTGCTGCCCAAGCATCTCGCTGTGCTCCCGAAGAATCTCCGTGTGCTGCCCAAGCATCTCGCTGTACTCCTGAAGGATCTTGGTATGCTCCCCAAACATCTGGCTGTGCTCCCGAAGAATCTCCATGTGCTGCCGAAGCATCTCGCTGTGCTCCCGAAGGATCTTGGTATGTTCCCAAAACATCTGGCTGTGCTCCCGAAGAATCTCCGTGTGCTGCCGAAGCATCTCGCTGTGCTCCCGAAGGATCTTGGTATGCTCCCCAAACATCTGGCTGTGCTCCCGAAGGATCTTGGTATGCTCCCCAAACATCTGGCTGTGCTCCCGAAGGATCGCCGTGTGCTGACCAAGCATCTCGCTGTGCTCCCGAAGGATCTTGGTATGCTCCCCAAACATCTGGCTGTGCTCCCGAAGAATCTCCGTGTGCTACCCAAGCATCTTGCTGTGCTCCCGAAGGATCTTGGTATGCTCCCAAAACATCTGGCTGTGCTCCCGAAGATTCTCGGTTTGCTGCCCAAGCATCTCGCTGTGCTCCCGAAGGATCTTGGCATGCTCCCCAAACATCTTGCTGTGCTTCCAAAGAATCTCCGTGTGCTGCCCAAGCATCTCGCTCTGCTCCCGAAGGATCTTGGCATGCTCCCCAAACATCTGGCTGTGCTCCCAAAGAATCTCCGTGTGCTGCCCAAGCATCTCGCTGTGCTCCCGAAGGATCTTGGTATGCTCCCCTAACATCTCGCTGTGCTCCAGAAGAATCTCGGTATGATGCCCCAGCATCTTGCTGTGCTCCCAAAGGATCTTGGTATGCTGCCCCAGCATCTTGCTGTGCTCCCAAAGGATCTCGGTATGCTCCCCTAACATCTTGCTGCACTTCCAAAGAATCTTGGTATGCTCCCCTAACATCTTGCTGTGCTCCTGAAGAATCTCGGTATGCTCCCCTAACATCTCGCTGTGCTCCCAAAGAATCTCGGTATGCTCCTCTAACATCTCGCTGTGCTCCCGTAGAATCTCGGTATGCTCCTCTAACATCTCGCTGTGCTCCCGTAGAATCTCGGTATGCTCCCCTAACATCTCGCTGTGCTCCTGAAGAATCTCGGTATGCTGCCCAAACATCTAGCTGTGCTCCCCAAGCAACTTGGTTTGCTCCCCAAGCATATTGGCATGCTCTCCACATATACTGGGATGCTCCCCAGGCATATTGGGGTGCTCCCCACGCATACTGGCATGCTCCCCAGGCATATAGGGGTGCTCCCCACACATGTTGGTTTTCTCCGAGAGCATCCCTGTTTGCACCAGCAATATGTTGGATGCCACCAAGAACATCTCTGTTTGCTTCCCAAGCATTTGGGTTTGCTTGGAAGCCGCTTCTTTCTCCCCAGCAATTGCCTACCCCAGCAAATGGAACATTTGTTACCCACTTTTGTTGTGACCGCGTAAGTAATTTTGGGAAGGCAATTTTAATTTCACACTGCCCAGAGCCAATTACATGGTATCTGTTTTCTAACAGCTTACTCGCTGATGCATGATTAGTAAACGTGACAAAACAGAAAGCTCGCCTTTCTTTTGTTCTCGGACACACTGGAAACCCAATATCCTCAATCTCTCCAAATGCCCCAAAGTATGCTCTGACTTGTTCTTCAGACACTTGAGGGTTCAGCCCGCCCACAAAAACCCTTCTCGGAGGGAATATGGGTTCCACGGCTTTAGCCCTTTTAATATCTATTTTCTTGCCATCCAGTTTGTGCTCTTCTTTTTGGAGCACCTTTTCAGCGGTGGCACTATCTTTGAAAAGCACGAATCCGAACCCTCTGGAGAGGCCAGTGATTGGGTCGGTTTTAATTGTAAAGTCTATGATGTCGCCAAACTGACACAAATATTCAAGAAGAACTTGCTTACTGATTTCGCGGGCAAGTCCCCCGATGAACAGTTTGCAGGGGTCCTGAAGTCTCTTGCTGGCCTCAATCCTGAAACCTTCATATAATGGTTGGGTTTTGTTAGGTCGGCTCACGGCAAAGCTGACGGCATCCATCTTAGCAAGGCTGGCTGCAGCAGCCGCAATAATGGCGGCTGCTTGGCTGCAGCTCAACTGACGAAGAGGTGGAATACGGAAATTGGCGGGGGGAGATGACGACACAGAGACGTAGTGACGTGTGAATAGGCCAGTGAGTGGTTTGAATTTCAAAAGTGGCGCTAAGGAGTGTTCCTAGTTCTACGCTCCCTGTACTTCCGTCTCAATTTTTGTGCTCTTAAAGCAACACCGCACGAAAGGTAAAGTTTGCCATGAGGGACAGCAACTCCTAGTCTTGTTCTGTCTCTGCAGTTTGTGTCTTTCAATTTTGTTAAAGCTGTTTGTTCTTTTTTTTGTGTGTGTGTGTGGTTTTTTGTGACCGGTAAGGGGATTGGAACCCTTGGCTTGGTGTCGCCCGCACCGTGCTCAGCCAGTGAGCACGCCGGCCATCCCTATATAGGATCCGAACTCGCGGCGGGAGCGCCACTGCACTCCCAGCGCTGCACTCTCCCGAGCAAGCCACGGGGTTGGCCCAATGCTGTTTGTTCTTTAGGGATGGTGCCTTGCGTGTGTAAGGGGTCATTCGTCCATTGCATTTTTAGGTAATTTTTATATTCCCTTAAAGCATTCGGGGAGGGGATGGGAAAGAAAGTAAGAGAGGTGGAACCCTAACCGAACCTATGCTACTGGGAGATTAAAATGCCTATGGAGTTTGTAGGTTTTACTAGAGAGGTCTGCAAGAACAGTTTTTAACAATGGCTTGGTTGAGATTCATTTATATACCATACAGTTCACCCTTCTAACATTTTATGTATATTTGCAGTTGTAAAGTGTGCCCTCTCCAAAAGAAAGTGTACTCCATTAAGCAGTCACTCCTCATTTCCCCTCAACCTTTCCAATCTCGTCCGATAGGTGGTGTCCGACTTTTGTGTGTGTGTGTGAGACTGGCGAGTACGGGGATCTGAACCCTTGACCTTGGTGTTGTGTCCGACTTTTTTTTCTTCTTTTTTTTTGCGCGACTGGTGGGTGCAGGGATCTGAACCCTTGACCTTGGTGTTGTGTCCCACTTTTTTTTCTTTTTCTTTTTTGCGCAACTGGCGGGTGTGGGTATGTGAACCCTTGACCTCGGTGTTGTGTCTGACTTCTTTCACTTTGCCATGTGTTTTCAAGTTTCATCCATGTTGTGGCATATATTAGTTTTTCTTTTCTTTTTATTTTTTTATGGCTGAATAATATTCCATCATGTGGATGTACCACATTTCATTCACCCATTTCTCTAAAATAGCATTTGAAAGCCTAGATTTTGTTGTATTATTCCATATCTACATCATAAAAATAAGTATAAGATATTTTTCTGGCAGTGATTTGCATTTGTCATCTTTGGTATGGTCATTAATTGTTTACACAACTAAGATGTCATTTAATATTAGCTTAACCTCTCCGTGTGTCTGAAGACCAAAACTCAAATTTTGAATGCTTAGTTCGGCTACTTCCATCTTCCATCATTATCTCTCTGATGTAATCGAGTAATTTGTGTGTATCCCCCTCCTTTAAGGGAAGGGTTTTTAATTCCACCATAGTACCTCCCACAGGCTCCGTACACTCTTGTACTCAAAGAATTTCCCCAAGTACTTATTTTTAAGACAACAATCCTACAGTTTAGTAATAATGCCCACTTATTTCTCTCTACAAATGTGTGTATTGAGCATAATTTGGAGATAAGAGAAAGGCAGTTATATTTTAAAAACACCCTCAATGAAATTAAACCATAGGGGTGAAATGACTTATTTCACAAAGGTCAAAGTAAAATCTTTAGCAAAATATCCCTTGTGCACACTTTAATTATAAACTATTTGAACCTCCATCTACTCCCACATTTCAGATGCTGTTCCACATTCTTGTACCTTTGTTCATTCTGATCATTATTCCCCAAATGCCTTTGTTTTCTCTTTTTCCAACCCCACTCCCTATTCCATCTGCCTAATTCTTACAGCCCTCTGTGAGACTATAACATTCTTTCTGTACATCTTTATCAAGGTGCTTGTATATGTGTGTCTTCCCCACTAGTTAGCGAGCTTCTCAAGGACAGGCTCTGGGCCATACTTTACTTAAAGGTCTCAAAACATAGAACAATACATAGAATAACTGGCACACTTTAAAAAAGGAACTCACTAAATGCTGTTGAAATAAACTAGACAGTAGAGTTCTCAGGGCCACATTTTTGAAAATTCCTAGTTTGACAGGCTTCTGGGAGGATGAGTCAGTTGCAGATTACTTACTGAGTGCTGATCTGTCACAATTTGGGAGAGCTAACCTGTCTTTCCCCAGTTAATATAAGCCTATGAAAGAGGCTGCAAATTTGAAATTTTCTTAGTTCTGGGTCATTTGTAAACCAACTGAGATAACCTCAGAGTAGCCAGAGCTCCATTCACCTCCTGCTTTTACTAGAATAAAAGTCTTAGGGGAATTATACCGTGTATGTGGTTCTAAACTAATAAAGCACATCGATGGCTAGTTATTTACCTTAATTAGGCCATAGCTAACATCATAGTTTTGACCTTTGTGTAGGCTGGTTAGCTTTATTCAGTATTCAATTACATGGCTACAGGCTGCACCCTTTACCTCAGTCCTTGGCCTTACGAATATGTGCTCCTGCTCATAAGGGGCTGCCGGATCTGAGCATGTCAATGAATCAGTGAAAAAAAGCTATCCTGGATATACAATTCAAAGCATTTAACCTACTGATCACGGGTCAAGAGTGTCATCTTGGTACATGAAAGACAACATATTATTACTGTAATTACTTTTGAGGCAGTAAAAAGGAACATTTTTAAAAAGATTGTGTCTTCTCTTGGTTTCCTAATGAAAATAATTATGCTTACTGAGGTTCTCTCCTCCCACACACATGCTCCATGATCTTTAGCTGTCTAAAATGTTTTTAAATGATTCCTTTCCACTCTAATGTCTGAAGAAATTAAAATTTGTGCTATTTAGCCTTAGTTTTCTACTGCAGTTATGCCACACAGCTTAATCTATTTTAGGTTTTGAAATTTTGTCGTTAGATTTCTAATGTTAACTTTCTTTATGGAATAGTACAGTAATAATAATTCTGACTAGTAATTTGTTCTAATTCCACATTAACTCAAAATGCTATATTGGAGATTTGAAGCAACTGGAGATTTCTTCATTAAGACATGGATAAATGAATGAATGAATGTGAGGGACCACAACAGTTAGCAAAAGTATTCTGCAAATGTGGAATGCCTGTAAAATCAAACACTGTAAATTGAAGAACAAAAGTCACAGAAAGTAGGGATATAAAATAAGGATTTGCTGCTGCTGGGGTAGGGGGACCAAGTGATGCAGTACATGCAGGCTATATAATTTTTGTATTTTAGGGAACATAGGGTGCCTGATTTGGGTTTCTTTCACAGTGATCTAGACCATGCCTGCAATATTTATAGCTCTTAATTTGATCATCCCTTGGATTTTGGGATCTCATTCATAATTGTTGGAGAATGGGGGATAAGATGAAGGATGACATATGCTTTTAGAATTAATCTGCCTCTCGTCATGGGACTCAACCTTGGCAGAAGGATGCTGTGGGACCCATAAATCAGAAAAGTAACCTGGATGTATCCTGATTTGATATGCTGGCATAGAGCTGTCTCTGTGGTAATATGTTCTTTAATGCTCTGTTGAATCTGTTCTCTTTAGTGAAATGAAAATGCATGTGTTTGACATACTTGGTCTAGTTGGTCGTTTGATAAAATGAGATTTTCCTTACTCTTTTTCCTCTTCATTTTCCACAGAAACTGCCAGTGCCCATTACTTAAATTAAGTTGAGAGTGCTAGCAGATAGTTTGAAAAATTATCATTTAGGAAATAACTGTTCTGTACTAACTTTGAGTATATCCAAATAGTGATCTATCCAAATGTAGTGCATTGGACACAGACTAAAAATTAATTTGACATCAAAAGTTTTTAACAGCTGGATCCAGCTTTGGACTTTTGCCTAGAGGAGAGTCATTCAAAAATGCCTCCTTGTCATCTGCAAAAAAAGGCAAATGTGAGTGGTAGGGTTGTAGGAAGACAACATAAATTTTGCAGTTTCAAGACTGCTTGATGAGACATATGTAGGTATTAAAACGTGCATTTCTCTTAGGGATACTGCTTTAAGTAGTCAGTTCAATTATAGTCATCTCAGACAGCCTGTATTTAAAAGCTAAAACAAAAAAAGAATTGGTGGAGAGGAAGACTCATCCTCCTCCTTCACCCTGCACCGAACAATATGCAGTGTGTGGTAAAGGGAAGCCTACCAGCTATGGTTTCCCTCTCTGTCTCACAGTCCTCCTTAGAAGAATTGTTATCGTGTACTTCATAGGCTGCCTGGTTGCTGGTTTGGGTAGGATCTACGGCAGGAGAAAATAGAAATCCATTCCTCAAACATATATGCATAACCTGGAGAATATTGGAACACCAGTATGTAACCCATTATGTTTCTCATTTTCCCTCTTTACCTCCTAATTAGCCAGTGTCATATGAAAGAGTTGGGGGCACTTTATGGATAAACAGATAAAAAGAGAAATTCCAAAAAAAAATTTTTTTTGTATGCAGGTCGGAGTTCTTCACACTTACTGAGTTGAATTAAATGTCATAAACGTTGCAGCCTATTTTGATGTTTTGCATCACTAATTATTAATTTTTTATGACTATTTTTTTTGGTACAGGGAAAAATCTCTACCTGCCACCTCACTTTCCCTTTGTAATAGTTATTTGGGAGAGGGGCTTTGGTTGGATTTTTCTTCAATTAATGTAATCTGTATTGCTTTTACATGATTTTATAAAAGTCATAAAGTTAACCATGCTTGCATATGAATCATACAAATATAGATTTAGACATTATTGCTATCTAACCATAGATATGAATCAATATGTGAAATCAACTTACATACTATACAGAAGTCTGTGCATATAGTGCTCCTTGAAGACTTCTGAAAAATGTCAGATTACTTTATTCA